CTTCAGGAAAGGCAGCAGACGTTTATTCAAACACTCACAGTCCCGGAAGCTATGAAAATGCTGCTTTTCAAGCCACAGGTACAGATGGCTTGCCAAACCAGATATTTCTTTGCGAACTTTGACAGTTTCATGTGCTTGAAAACATCTGCTACCTTTCCCCTTCCTTTTGCCGTATAAAACTCCTGTCCCGGAAGCTGCTTGTAGTCGGCTTTGACGTAGGTTTCGTCGTCCATTACCACGCAGTCAAACTTCGTCAGCATCGTCGTGTACAGCCTCCGGGATCGCGCTTTGGCCGTCGTATTTTGTTTATCATCGCGATTTGGAGTCACTACCTTCTTGTAAGTCGATAGTCCGGCTCGTTTTTTGGCTCGATGCACGGTTGTAGACGATACACCCAGCTTATTTGCGGCATCTCGGAGAGAGAGGTTAGGGTTTCGCTTGAAACTACCGGCAACTCTCTTTGTCGTCGCAGCGGCTTCCGGTTTTCGATTTCCCCCCGATCCAGACTTCCTGGCTGTCGACAAACGTTCCCCAAACACTTTAATTACATTTGTAACGGTTGATTTGGCAACTTTTAGCGATTTTGCCAACTTTGCGTGCGAGTAGCTCGGATTTTCGCGATGCGCGAGCAAAATTTTGATACGCTGCTCTTCTTGCTTGGACGGCATTTTTAAAAACTGAAGAGTGAATTCCAAAATCAAAATAGGAGCAACATTCTACACACACACACACCTTCAAAATGAGGGGTGTTCAGGTTTTTAAATGCAAAATTGAAAGAAATACGTCAAGTTGATATTGACCAAATTTTGACCGTATCACCCTTTAATAATATTATTCTTTGGCATAAAATTATTAACAATGGTCATGTGGAGTTTAGTAGTTGTAGTTTAGGTAAACTGTGTGTGAGTACGACGATGTTAGGCTTTAATTCTCACTTCAGCCAAGATAATTTTAGTTTAAAATAAAATTGCCTACTGGTCTACCGAATGTTGTGAGTTGTATGATATCAAGAATGAAATTGTAAGTCTGATCAATCACAGAGTAATATTACAATTATTTAAAACTAAAAAAATGTGAAGACACATTCTAGTACTGCATCAAATATTTAGGACTAAATCGATTATTAGTTTAAAAACCACAAGGGACAGCCCTATGGGGTTGTACGCAATGGTGACGTAGGACTACGTGGTTTTATATAATAAATCTTATTTGTTAACTGCAGCGGTAGCTTGTGTTTTGTGTAGGAATAGGAATTTGAGCGGAATTGTCTCTGTTTAGACTCTTTTGTGTCCTCCTTCTATGGATGCTCATGTGGACTGCAGCCTGGGGGGGGGGACGTGCTGTCAAATCAGCCTACTGATCATCTTGTATGAAACTGGTTCCAAACGTAAACAAACGCTGTAGGTTTCTTATGGCTTGTTTACGTTTGGAACCAGTTATGCGAGGTAGGCGACGATTGTTCGTATTTGACAGCCACCTCCCCCCCTTGACTGCAGCTCGCTGCTTGCAGGCAGCTTTTCGTTGTGTAATGGAGAACACAACCACTCACCACGCGATGATTGAATAAACACCGTATTGTGAGACCAGATGGAATTCAACTTTGAAATCTGTGTTAGGGAAATCGCTTTTCGCAGGTGATAATTTTAATTATCATAGCAACAGTTGCACATTCGTGCAATTTTCAATGGTGAAATTTTGAAAAACTGATAAAGTCTTAAATTTAACAGATCCGTAGAAATATTTCTGGTTGATTGGTTTAAATGTTCCATTTTCGGTTTTAACAAGGTGTACCCCCATATAGAAATCACAAACGTAGTCCTACGTCAAAAAATCATCCCATCAAAGTTGCTTAACTTTTGGATGATTTTAGCAATGCTAACAAGTTTGCTTTATATATTTTTTAAACATGGATTTCATAAACATTCTGGTAGACTTTGAATAAATTACAGATGATCATACTGACCGATTTTTACAGCAGATTGACACATCACTTTGATTTCTGTAGCATTATGTTAAAAACAGGATTTTTTAGAGCATTCCAGATTTATTCAGATTTTATGTTTAGACTGGTCCAGATTTTTCAGGAAATGACCTGGCAACGCTGGTTGTGCTGGGACAGAGTCTGGACAAACATTTTTAGCGAAGTCGAATATCCATTGGGAGGAGTATTCTTCACTCTCATTGGAAGATGAGCGGCTTCGCATATAGCGAGCCTTTTTCGAAAGCATTGTCATCGAGGTTTCTCTAGAAAGTCCCTCGATAAGAGAACGCCAGTAATTTCGTTTCTTTGGTTTTAGTAAGTGTTTAAGCTTTTTTTCAAGCTTTAAATACTTTTAAAAAAGCTCAGATCTTCCATGCCTACGATAATCTTAGTGTATTCGTCATCCCATCCAGGGGTGGCGGGTCTTCTTTTGAAGGATGCACTTGGAATACGTAGTTTCTGAGCTTCTAATGCACTTTTGTAGATTAGTTCGGTAAAGAAAAGAAAATCGTCCAATGGTGGTAGAAGATCGGTAAATTCAATCATCTCGGTTCAGGCGGATAATGTTAAAATCGTGGAAGTTTAGTTCATCTTCAGAAGAAAGTCAAGTTTCACAGAGTGCAAATATATCACAATCAGAATTGTGAATCAAATACTTGAACGATTCTAATTTAGGTATTAGACTACGACAGTTCCATTGTAATAAAGTGATCATACCTTAACCATACCACTCGACGAATTATCCATCGAAAGATATGAATTCACCAATGAGGGGCCATTATACAATCAATTGCTTGAAGTAGCCCAATAAGCCCTCGAAGTGGCGATTCGTCGGGAAAGGGGCATTCAAAATGTTATCCACAATGTCCTTAAATTTAATCTTTCCTCGCTTGGACGGGAGAGTTTTCTTTAAATTGCGAGTAGACGTGGTGTTTATTTTTGGTAACCTCTTACGATTACCTTAACGTAACGGCGGGGTGGAATAGCTGCAGCAAGGATCAGATGGAGCAGCAATTACCGATTTGTACCTCCGGAGACTCACTCTCGTCTGCTATATCAGAGTCCAGTTCATCGGAAGACAAAATCTCCTAAGTGTTTCCATTTTGTGCGGCTGAACTAAACTCTTTACCGTAGGATAAGTCTTGTCCAACTGAACCACTTTAATGAAGACGGAAATCTGCCATCTAGTCCACACTCCATATGTAAGGTTAGGGCAAACCTTAAAAAAATATTGTCACACTAGCGTCACCTGGTGAGTGAATGCCGAGCTGAAATTTAGTCTTGGTGATCTGCACAACCTTTTCGAAGACGGGATCCTTCTGTATAGTCAAGAAGTTATGTTAGGACAAACAATTCAAAATTAATATCACACTAGCGCTGCCTGATGTGTGAATTCTGAACTAAACTCTTTAACTTAGGATTGGTATTAATCATCTGAACAACTTTACTGGAGATGGAAACCTTCTATCTAGTCGAGATGATAAGTTATGGCATAAAATTCAAAATGTATGTCACACTAGCGCTGTCGGGTGAGTGAGTTCTGAACTAAACTCGTTACCTCAGGGCAGGTTTTGTCCATCTGAACAAATTTGCTTAGTACAGGAATCATCCATATTAGCAGGATCTGTAGATATCGTTATACAATGTGTGTTTAGAAGGCATCATTTTCGTTTTAGCGCTATCTAAAGAGTAAATTTTATCATAAACTATCCATAATTGTGAAAACCTTGTATTTCTGAACATCTTTGCGGAACGAAACAACATCCTATATGGATGAGATCTCGTGATATTAACATCTCTATATAGTTTTACAATGACCTCTCCCCCCGAGAGATTCGTCCCTCAAAAAAAAATCTTGGTAATTTTAACTAAAATTTCACTTAATTAACTTTGTAGATCATTTTAAATTTCAAAAATCTGTTGAACCTTCGCTGAGATATGACAATTTGAATTTAGAGTCAAATTAACCCCAAGGTACAGATAAAATAAGTTATTTTTGGCACAGACGAAGGGTTTATAGAGAACTTTCTATGCCAACACCAATGCGTGATTTTGTATATTGTGCGTAAACCAGAGAAATCTCAAAAATTACCAGACATTTCGACTTTATGCTTAATTTAAATGTATATCGTACAACCGGGTACCAACCTCATTTGACCTAGCTGCCCTTTTCGACAAAATGGCGTTCAGTCTGTTGAAATCTAGCCTTATCATCGAACAAAAATTGACCCCCCCCCCCTCTCTTTTGAAACCTGGCTACGTCCATAAGCTCTTGGGAAAGAGTTCCCGTAGAATTAAAAGGCCTTATATGGAGGTCTGGTGAACTTTCAGTGGGGATTTATAATCATATCCACTAGTGAACTGCTCTAGAAGCCTCTGAAGGCGGCTACTGACAAATTCAAAGTCGGATTTGAAATATTTTAGGAGCGAATCCTTGGACTTCTTTGTATTCAAAGTTCTCAGTACTTCCTATAGAGGCCTTCTTGTAATTCAAAAAATACAAATATTTAGATCATGAAAACCTTTGCTTTTGAAAGGAATTCGCAGTCCTCGGGTTTCCATCGACCTTACTCTTAGGAAATCCAAAGGACTTGTCCTGGAGAGCCACAATACATTCTCCAGCTACTCTTAAATATCCCGAACATTAAGGACTGACCGCTGAGGTTGGTGACATTTGTGGACAAACAAATTATTCAAATATATATTCCAACCAGTATCTATTAGTTCATGGACGATGGATGCATCTTGCCTTTAATGTCAAAACCTCCCAAAATGAGCTGTTTCTCTCGTACCGCATCCCATCCTACATGTATCTGTCCCTGACTGTCTCTCTCTACTCTTGGGAATGTCCGTGTTCGTAACTTCCTTCAGTGTAGCCCATTGTGAATGTGATCCGCATAAGGGAAGACCTCCCCCGAAAACTTCCTCAAAAAAACCATAAATATCGAACAAAATAACAATTCACTCTCATAAAGCGAACCCAATATCTCGTGGTTAATTCAGAGTCCTATGTAGACAGGTCGGCGCGGCGAGCCAGTAGAGCCGCGTGGAAACAAAGCCAGTGCGTTGCCAGTGGGCAAATCTCCGGCGCCTCACCCATCCCTCCCATCATCGTCGGGGGCGTCGGCGGCGGCGGCGGCAGCGGCAGCACCAATCAGCCTCAGCAGCAGCAGCCTCAGCCTCAGCACCAGCACCAGCCAGCTCAGAATGCACCATCAGCCGTCGGCGGCGGTGGCATCATCCTCCCTGTTGGCGGCATCGGGGACAGCGGCAGCGGCGGCGGAGTCTATCTCCCGTTCAGTAGCCAGCAGTCCATCAACAACCTCCTTACAGCTCGGTCCGCATCCGCTCTCAGCCACTCCCAGCAGTCTACCGTATCAATCAGTAGTGGCTCAGTTAGCTCAATCCCATCGAGCCTCGCCACATGTGGGCCCTCAGGTAATGATAACACTTCAGAATCTCTCAGAATCTCACTCGACAACCCTACCTACTACTAACTACTCTTCACAGAATACAGACGGACAGTTGACACATACGTACCACACTCACACAACAACACGCGAGCTAAATTTTCGTTTTCTTAGTCATAGTCGTTCTGAACCAACACCAACACACTTGAGCACCCTTTCGAAGCACCTTGAATTGAAAATAACGATCATATTAGTGTTAGCGTTGAGCTGTTGCATTAGCGATCGATTGCGAGTGGATCCTAATGGGTGTCTTTCTCGTTCTCCTTCTTCCCCCTTGCAGCCCCATCAATTGGAGGGCTTAGCGGCCTCGGCGGAGCACGGCCAATCGCCACGTCACGTCACACCCTCCCCAAGCTCTAGTTCCACCTCGTCGGCGTCCGGATCCGGTTCCGGTGAGTCGTCCTCCTTCTCCCCCTCCCCCAGTGTTGAACCCGAACTAACCAATTCGATTTTTTCTTCCCAGGTACTGATACCATAAAACGTGGCGCATCACCCGCTTCGGTTAAGTTCAGAGAATCCGGCAGTAGCTATTCCCTCAAGTCCGACACGAGCCGCATCCTCAGCAGTAGCAGCAGCCTAGCAAAGAAGTACACCCCCAATGGTGGCGCTGGAGGTGCCGAATCCATCACCAACGGTTCCACCTCGTTCGATCATCACCATCATCCGGTGGGATCGTCGTCATCGATTCTTGGCAACGGAGCCGCCGCCACCAGCAGCAGCAGCAGCGGCATCACCAACGGAGCCATTCGCAAACAGCCTCAGCGTGACGGCGGCAATGGCGGCAACGGCAGCAGTAGCAGCACTATCAACAATGGACCAAATATCTCCTCATCATCAGATTTACAACTTCCATCCAGAAGTGTTCTTTTCTCATCGGATTACCTGTCATCCACATCCCCATCCTCGACGGCGGCCACGACGCTAGCGATGCAGAAGTCAACGATGTCGGTGGGGTCACTGTCAACGTTAGATGTGGCCACATTCAGCCTGGACGATAAGAACAACCTTGTGGTGTCGCCGTCGCCTTCGTCGGCTTCGGAGTCCTCGCACCATTCGTCAAACTCTTCGCTAAGGGAACGATCACCGCAGCCATCGCCGTCGCTGAAGCGGCAGGAACCGATCGATCGTACCGATAGCGTTGGCGGCAGTTCGAGCACCGGCGGATCCAGTCTGTTTTCATCGCTCCGAAGTCAAACGCTCGGCAGTTACCAGTTCCCGTCGAGTACGCTGAAGTTATCGGGTCAGCTAAGCGCGGACTCGGCCACATCGGCAGACGATGGCAGCACTTCGTCGTTGCTTCGGAAACTCACCACGTCACTGTCGAGATCCATCACCAGCAATACAGGCACATTACCATTATCGTTAGGTAGGCAAGGCGCGAGTAGTTCATTATATCAGCAAGAAAAGAGCTATTCAGGCGGTAGCAGCAGCGGCGGCAGTAGTAGTGGTAAACCAACGAGTGCTTCTCTGAATTACGCAAGCCCAGCCGGTGGTGGCAGTCTGCTGAGCGGTGGTGACGGTAGCGGAGCTAGTGCAGTAACCACGGCGGCCGCCGTCACTAGTATGAGCATCTACGGCACGCTTCCGAAGAATTCGTCAATCTACTCGTACGGTGGTGGGTCGTCCGGTATACTCACGGGCACGTCCAGCTCGTACGGTATTAGCGATCGACTACGGGCACTGACCGGTAGCGGTGGTGGCAGCACGGGCGGCGAAAGCTCCAGTGGACTGGGATCCAGCATGACTACGACGGCAACTTCGTCTAGCTCCGGAGCGGACAGCGGAGCCGGCTCCAGTGCGGCCGATCTGGGCGCTAGCGGGTATGATTACGAGTCGTCTGGATTCTCGTCCACGGGACTGACTTCGTCCTACGGTGGGGCGTCCGCTTCTTCTTCGGTATCGATGAACACTTCGGCAGGTTCTGGCCTTTCGTCGTCGTACTTCAGCACCGGAAGCGGTAGCAGCCCTTTCGGTGGTGCTAACGGTGGATCCACCGAAACTACCGGAAGCGGTCCTCCGACCTATCGAGTGCAATATTCGTCAACGAATCCCTTCTTACCGAGTTACAATCCACCGAATATTGACAATGGCGGTGCTGTTCCTGGTAACGGGGGTGCTAATAGCGGGCGCAACGGTGGACTACGGTCCTCGGACGAGGACGACTCGTTCGATATGAAGTAAGATGATACCAACCAACCAATTCACTATTCGAACAGTATTAGTCAAAGCGTAGCTGACAGGTATTTAGGAGCCCTTTGTTAAACTGTAGTAGGATAGTTACGAACCAAACAGAACTTACAATCATAGTTTTTCTTCTTTTGTACGAAGCCAGTTTTTTTTTTCCAAAACAAAAACAATCAAAACACAAACAGTTTTTTTTTCCTCTAACGGGGAAGTATTTGACACTCTGTACTTGGTATTGTTTACACCGAAGCAGGTGCGTGTTTTCACGCGTCTGATCGATTCCTTTTCTAGGTTCTGTTTTACGCGAAACAGGAAAATATTATCGAAAAAAAAAACTAAGATGCAATAGGCGAATACAAATTTTTGCAAAAAAAAACCCTTACAACATACATACCCTATATATGATTGTATTATATTGGGAAAAATTTGATGAACCAACAAACGAAAACAATTACAAAACATGCATTTAGACGCAGGAACAGGATTGTTATAACCTTATAATACTGAACGTGCGCATTTGATACGCTTTACTTGTCATTTAAACGAACAAAACAACAACAAACGGAAAGTCGAAAAACGCAAATAATAATCAACGCTGCTTTAGAACGAATGCCATCATCAATAACAAAAACAAAACAGCAAAACACACGACACAAACTCACATTTGCTATTGTTTGTAAATGGAGGCGGCGCGAAATAAACACAAAAAACGAAAACAATAAGACGAAAAAGAACAAGACTAACTTTTACATTACAATTATAAAGAAAAGGGAAAACATCTCGTTCACCGACACTCACAAACACTCATACAAAGCCAGCTACCAGCAGTCAGTGTTAGGGTGAAGAAAGAACAGGAGAAACAGAATCGAAGACTTGTTCGCACACACACACACTCACAAAATCTCACACCCGCTAAATTTCGCTTCAACGGAATCATGACACTTAAGCGTTAAAGGAAAATAACAAGCAATTAGCAAAACAAAATTAAAGACCATTTATAACCAGTGACTCACACACACACACACACACGCATACGATTATACGAAACAAATGCATAACCTTTTTCAGTGCGCAGCAAGCGTCATGTAACTTTTTCCCTCTTTAACATCACTCTATTTATAGCACAATTCTTCATTAGGCAATTTTTATGGGAAGCGAAATGCACTCATTCTCAGACAAGTACGGCACATCATCATCATCATCATCATCATCTTCGTAATCAACAATATCCGGTAGTCCAATTAATATGGGGAAAGTAGAACACAAATAGACGCCTTACTAAAAATCGGGAAAATTGGCAACACTTTTGCTTTCTGTCAGTATTGGGGGGTTTTGCCGAGTGCACGGTTGGATTTGAGTTCACTCACTCGAGATAAACAGGTACAAGCTGCGGGCAATATTTACTAATCATGAACACCAATGGCGATAAGTTCCAACTCGAATTAACTTTTAATACCGTCCCTGATTGGAGGATGTACCAAATGTTTGTTAAGGATGGTATTGATTAACATCGACGTCGACAGCAAAACAGCCTGTCATTCGTGATTGGGATTTAATCCAAGGATAATACCGGTTGGAGCTGAATAATGAACATTTATTATGGTAAGCTCCAACCGGTATGATCCTCGAATCAAATCCCGATCAATAATATCAAGCTGCTTTGACGTCAGCAAATACGACTCTAAGCAAACATTCGGCAGATTATCCAAACAGGGCCGGAATTAAAAGTTAATCCGAGGTGGAGCTTACCGTCATTAGTGCCCGCGGCTTGTATGACTTTTTCTCTAGTGAGTGAACTCAAATCCATCCGTGCACTCGTCTAAAGTCGAGGTTAGGGTGTCGAATGTATGTAAACAATTAACGCTTTGTTTTTAATCAGTGTGTACGGCAGTTTAAGGATAGTTTCGGTTGTCAGTTGGTTTTGCTCGAATGATGCGGCTAAATATAATGGATGAAACCGGAATCTCCGATTTCATGTGCGGTTGATAACCGGAAATGGGCATTAGATTTGAATTTGCATGATCGGATTTTGATCAGTCTATTGAATTTGTGGAGTTCCTAGTATGTCAGGTTGACAGTCTGACATTTTCAAGATATTCTGACATTTTTACGGTGAAGTGACAACTTGTCACTCATGGTGAAGTGATTTGATTTAAACGGCAATCACTTCACCATGAGTGACAACTGGTCACTTCACTTCGTTTTCACCGTGAAGTTGCACCCATAATAAGGTCCAACAATAACTTCCAGAAATACAAGTTCTGACATTTCATCCAAACAGTTTCGAAAAAATCGTCAAACAGGTCGAAGGCATCTACGACAAAGTTCCGAGGGAATTCCACGAATACTTTAGTGTAATTTCGAAGAAAATTTCTGAAAAATCTCTTAAGAAATATTGTGAAGTTCCGAGATGACTAAAGAGAGTTTTGAAGGAACTTCATAGAAGTTTCGTGGCAAGTTCTAACATAATGTTCTTAAAAGTTTCTAGGAATCTTCTGGAAATCAACATTCTGGAAACATCTAACATCTAAGAACAAAAGGCAAGTTCTCAACAACCGGTAGAATTTCCAAACAACTCTGGAGGAACTTCAAGAAAGATCCGAGCCTACTTGAAGGCAATTCCTGGGGAACTTCAACGGAATATCTGGAGGATTTTAGTGAATTCCAGGAGGGCTTTAGAGACTTCCCGTGTAGCTGAGGTTTTCCAGGATTTTTTTTGAAGTTCCCTCGAATCGTATCTGTAGCTACCCAGATACTTCTCTCAACTCCATGGGGAAGTTAAGCGCACCCTTGGGTCTTTTCTGAAGTTCAATCGGACTTTATCTGAAGTTCCCTTGGATTCTGAAGTGTCAAGTTGCCTCGAAGCGTTTTTTTTTAAGTTGTCTCGAAACTTTTTTCAAGTTGCCTCCAAACTTGTCTCGAATTGCCTCGGAAATTGGCTCGGAACTTGTATAGTTGCATCTGAACTTGCCTCAAGATGCCTCGAAATTTATTTCAAATTGACTCAGAACTTGAATCAAGCTGCCTTGGAACTTGTTTTAAATTACCTCGGAGTTTGTCTCAAATTGCCTCGGAACTTTCTTCAAGTTGCATCCGAAATCTTTTTTTAAATTTCCGCGAAACTTGACTCAAATTGCCTCGGAACTCTCCTTAAGTTACCACGGTACTTGCCTCAAGTTGCCTCGGAACATGTCTCAAATTGCCTCGGCACTTGTCTCAAATTGCCTCAGAACTTCCCTCAAGTTGCCTCGGAACTTGCCTCAAACTCGGAACTTGCCCAAACTCGGAACTTGGAAAATGTCTAAAGTTGCCTCGGAACTTGTCTTTAGTTGCATCGGAACTTATTCCAAGATGCCTCGGAACTTGCCTCAAGTTGCTTCGAAATTTGTCTCAGGTTGCTTCGAAACTTGCCTCAAGTTGCCTCGGAACTTGTCTCAAGTTACATCAGAACTTTTTTAACTTGCCTCAAGTTGCCTCGGAACTTGTTCCCTCGAATCTTATTTGAAGCTACCCCGGAAGTTCTCTCAACTCCATAGGGAAATTAAGCGGTGCACCTTTGGGCCTTTTCTGAAGTCCAATCGGACCTTCATTGAATTTCCCTTGGATTTATTCTGAAGTGTCAAGTTGCCTCGGAACTTGCATCAATTTACCTCGGAACATGTTTCAAATTGCCTCGGAACTTGTATGGTTGCATCGGAACTTGCCTCAAGATGCCTCGAAATTTATTTCAAATTGCCTCGGAACTTGTATCAAGCTGCCTTGGAACTTGTTTCAAATTACCTCGAAACTTGTCTCAAGTTGCCTCGGAACTTTCTTCAAATTGCATCCGAAATCTTTTTTTAAATTGCCTCGAAACTTGACTCAAATTGCCTCGGAACTCGCCTTAAGTTGCCTCGGAACATGTCTCAAATTGCCCCAGCACTTGTCTCATGTTGCCTTGGAACTTGCCTCAAATTCGGAACTTGGAAAATGTCTAAAGTTGCCTCGGAACTTGTCTCAAGTTGCATCAGAACTTTTTTAACTTGCCTCGTAACTTGCCTCAAGTTGCATCGGAACTTGTTCCCTCGAATCTTATCTGAAGCTACCCCGGAAGTTCTCTCAACTCTATAGGGAAGTTAAGCGGTGCACCCTTGGGCCTTTTCTGAAGTCCAATCGGACCTTTACTGAATTTCCCTTGGATTTATTCTGAAGTGTCAAGTTGCCTCGGAACTTGCATCAAGTTGCTTCGGAATTTACCTCGGAACATGTTTCAAATTGCCTCGGAACTTGTATGGTTGCATCGGAACTTGCCTCAAGATGCCTCGAAATTTATTTCAAATTGCCTCGGAACTTGTATCAAGCTGCCTTGGAACTTGTTTCAAATTACCTCGAAACTTGTCTCAAGTTGCCTCGGAACTTTCCTCATGTTACATCGGAACTTTTTTTTTAATTGCCTCGAAACTTGACTCAAACTTCCTCGGAACTTGCCTTAAGTTACCACGGAACTTGCCTCAAGCTGCCTCGGAACATGTCTCAAATTGCCTCGGCATTTGTCTCAAATTCCTCGGAACTTGTCTCAAGTTGCCTCGGAACTTGCCTCAAGTTAACTTGGAAAATGGCTAATGTTGCCTCGGAACTTGTCTATAGTTGCCTCGGAAGTTGTATCAAGTTGCATCAGAACCTTTTTTAAGTCGCCTTGTAACTTGTCTCAAGTTGCTTCGGAACTTGTCTCAAGTTGCATCGGAACTTTTTTAAGTTGCCTCGTAACTTGTCTCAAGTTGCCCCGGAACTTGTATCAAGTTGCCTCGGAGCTTGTCTCAAATTGATTCTAAACTTGCCTCAAATTGATTCTAAACTTGCCTCAAGTTGCCTCGGAACTTGCCTCAAGTTGCATCGGAACTTTTTTAAGTTGCCTCGTAACTTGTCTCAAGTTGCCTCGGAGCTTGTCTCAAATTGACTCTAAACTTGCCTCAAGTTGCCTCGGAACTTGCCTAAAGTTGCCTCGGAACTCGCCTCAAGTTGCTTCGGAACTTGTCTCAAGTTGCCTCGGAACTTGTATCAAGTTAACTTGGAAATTGTCTCAAGTTGCCTCGGAACTTGTCCCAAGATGCTTCGGAACTTGTCACAAGTTGCCTCGGAACTTTTCTCAGCTAGTCTCGGAACCTTTTAAAGTTGCCTCGGAACTTGTCTCAAGTTGCCTTGGAGCTTGCCTCAAATTGCCTCGGAACTTGACTCAAGTTCCCTAGGAACTTTTTTTAAGTTGCTTCGAAACTTGTCTCAAATTGTCTCGGAACTTACCCCCGACAAGTTCACGGAATTTCCAATAAGTTCACAAAAGTTTCGACAATATCATAGATCTTCCAACAAGTTCACGGAACTCCTGACAAGTCCACAGAACTTCTGACTAGATCGTGGAACTTCCGGCTCCCCCACGGTACTTTTAACAAGTTCGCGGAACTTCCAACAAGTTCACGGAAGTCCTGACAAGATCATGGATCTTCCAACTGGTTCACTGATTTTCTGAAAGGCTAACGAAATGATTGACAAGGTCAGGGAATGTTTTGACAAGTTCACGAAAGTCCCAAAAAGATCATAGATCTTCCAATAAGTTCATGGAAGTCCTGCCAAGTTCACGAAACTTCCAACGTGATCTTGGAACTTCCAACTAGATCGTACAACATCCGACTCCCTCACGGTACTTCCGACAAGTTCACGCAAGTCCTGACGAGATCATGGATCTTCCAACAACTTCACGCTATTGCCGATGGAACTTCCGGCATCTTGAACGTACTTTCGACTCCAAAATTTGCTATGTTTTTTTAAAGAGAATTTCCTCTAGCAACAGGACTTTCGGAGACTTCATTGGAAAACAAATATAACAAGAGAACTGCAAAGAAATTCGTAACACTTGTGCGATGCAGCTTCACCAGAAAATTTCCTTAAATGTCACTAAAAAGTTCCTTGAATCGCACTATGGGGTGTTTGCAAATTTCTTAGAATATCTTCAAAAAGTACATAAAACTCCCAGATGACGTCATTAGAAAGTACAGGTGAAAGGTGAATAATCATCCAGAGGAAGTCGTTATAACATTCTAGTAAACCTGGAACAAGCTTCGGTCGGAACAAAGTTCCGGGAGAATTAGAACAGTTTCAATGGAATAAAGTGTAAAGCATTCAGGGTGAAAAAAAGAAGCCTATAGAAAGAAACCCCTAGAATCAAGCGCCTAGAACAAGCATGCAGAAGAAACCTTCAGAAATAATTCTTTATGAGAAGTCTCCAGAAAGAATCCTCTAGAATGAAGCCTCCAGAAAAAGTCTCCAGAAAGAAGCTTTTAGAAAAAATCCCCTAGAGTGAATCATCTAGAAAAAGTCTCCAGAAAGAAGCCTTCACAAAGATGCCTCCAAAACAATCCTCTAAGAAGAAGCTTCCAGAAGAAGCTTCTATAAGAATCCTCTAGAAAGAAGCCTTTAGAATAAGTCTCCAGAAGAAAGCCTTTAGAAAAAAGCCCCTAGAATGAAACCTGTAGAAGAATCCTCTAGGAGAATTCTCCAGAAAGAAGCCTCTAGAGTGAAGCCTCTAGAAGAAGTCTCCAGAAAGAAGGCTTTAGAAAAAAAAAGCCCTTAGAATGAAGCCTCTAGAAGTAGCCTCTATGAGTAACCTCTAGTACGAAGCCTTTGGA